ACTTGTTTATTTTGTTCGAACTAATAGTCATGGAAATAGAAATTCTAGAAAGTTAATTTTCGTGTTCCGTTACATGTGTGAGCCACTGTATATAACGTTCCATTAGTGAAAATTTCCAAAAATCCGTTATATATATATATATATAATGAACAGCGGACGGAAAATTAAATATTTTAAATTTTATTGCATAAAAAATTTCACCAATGGGCTTAAATTCAATTCAATTCTGTTGCAAAATTTATTTACATAATTTCTTGTACGCGCATAAAATCTTAGATGCAACGTTCCGCGAAAAACAATCATGGTAACAATGTGGAATTAATTATTTCCAATTCAAGAATTCGATCAATTTAGCATGTGTTGCGCTTATACAATTTCGCCTGAGACACATCCGTGTGACATCAACTCAATTCGAGAGCAATTCACAGATGATGATTATATTATTTTATCTCTTTCTTCTGAATGTGGTTCTTTGTCCCGCCCACCCGCCCGTCTCTTTCTTTCCTTAATCTTTAACATTATTTCCCCCCTCCTCCTCCAACAAAGTAGCCTCCCTGGCTAAATTTCGCGACTCAAGGGACCAAATTAATAAACTCACTCTGCCTCCCCCCCTCCCCGGGGTTAATTAAAAAAACGCAATTTTTAATCTAAGCGTTTTCTTTATACACCACCGTTCGTTTCTCTCTCCACCCGCACACCATCACTTTCAAAAAAGAACGTTACCAAATAGACGGGTTACATACATCGAATTTTGTATTTTTATTATTGTTTTTTCAATAGACCAGTCTCATATATAGATATATCTTCGAGGCGGGCATAGAAGATGGCTTCCTTTATATTTAATATATTAGGCTTTAGTCTGTTACTTTTGGCGACGGCTATATTACAGATTAATGCACAGGTTCAATGTTCTGCTAGTTCACCGTGTCCGGAATCGGCGCCTTGTTGTTCAGGTTAATTCACTTTTTCATTTTTGTCAGCATATACTCTTGTATTATTATTAGCATATACTCTGAAGTTTTCGCGTGACATAAAATTGAACAATCTATCATTTCGAATTTTTCACTTTAGAATTCGGATACTGTGGCTCTGGGCGTTTTTGTCTAGGTAAATCTAAAAAAATCCAACATCCACGTGTTTCTCTACACATCGAAATGCATATTAATTAGTTTGATCTCCTAGGTGGTTGCAATCCTTTGTTGAGCTTCAAACCAACTTCATGTGCACCAAATCCAATCTGTCGATCAATGACCTACAATCTCAAAGACACTAGTAAATTTATCGATAGTGCATCTTACAGTGGAGAATCGACCTATGATTTCACAACTGATGGACAACCGATATTTTCCAATGGTGTTATATTACTGACATTGGCTCAAGGTTCTAAAGGTACTCGTATATCGACTACTCAGTATGTTCAATATGGTAGAATCACTGCTAGACTCAAGACATCTCGAACTCAGGGTATCGTAACCGCGTTCATGTAAGCTTAGTATATATTTTATATTATGAACTTAAATTATTATATAATATTAATCTTATTAATTTAATTAAAAGTACCATGTCGAATGTTAAAGACGAAATAGATTGGGAATGGGTCGGTTATCTACTAGATAAGGCGCAAAGCAATTATTTCTATCGTGGTATTATCGATTGTAAGTAATTTTATAAATTTCAAGTAAAAAACGATCACTATCTAATAATAAAAACTTACGTCAATTAAAAGATGGGAACGCTGATACACATCCAGTCAGCACTAGTACTTTTGACGATTTCCACGAATACACAATCGACTGGCAAGAAACCCAATTACAATGGTTCGTTGACGGAAAACTAGTTCGAACACTCTATAAAAAAGATACGCTAAATGCCACAACAGGCGTCTACATGTACCCATCAACACCATCACGTGTTCAACTGTCGATATGGAATGGTGGTGAAGGTGCAGCCGGGACAAAAGCATGGGCCGGTGGTCAGACAAATTGGAATTCACCCGATATAAAGAGTCCCGGATATTTTTACGCGCAGATCCAAAGTCTCGATATAAAGTGTTACGGTCCACAGGCTAGTAATTCGTCAAGTCAGCAATTAACAAGTTATGTTTATGGCGCTGATGGTAATATAAGTGTTAGTAATGCGAATACGACGATCAAGATTGCTACGCCACAAAGTCTAGGGTTACCGCAAGATGTGAACGATATGCAAAATATTACGGGACAATATATTCAGGATTTGAAGACCTCTACCGGTATTAATACCATTGCTTTGACCCCAAAGAATTTGGCTTTGACTCTATTGAGTTTGCTCTCTAGCAATTTTTTGAACCTGCTATAACTTGAAACATTTAGAATCATCAGAATACATAATCTCCATCATTACGTTCAAATTACGGGCGGCAATTAATGATCCCTTCAATTCATTCATTAATCCTTTTATTACCTTTATTTGTTATGTTATTCATTCTTCTCTCTCTCCCAAAATATATCTCCCAGGGCGAACGCTGCGCGTTTCCGCGACTGTAATTTATTTGTGTATTACTATTATCGTCATTTATTGTTAGAAGTAATTGGTATTTTTTTTTTATCAAAATTACCATTAATATCATAATAACCATTAATATCATAATAACCAGTGTATTTTACCATCACGAATTGTAATACGTGAAAAATGCAATGTGACCTTAAACGTGACTTTTTTTTGAGAACAATAGATAATCAAGATTTTTAGGTAAGTTTGGTGTGTGTAGATTTTAGATAATAAACAGCCAATGCGGGGGAACCGAAGCTGAAGCGTGAGAAGACTTTTCTTTATAACGATAATTCTTTTTTTGTTCCTTTCTTCCTCCTTCTAACTTTTTTTGTATACATCTTTCTTGCTCAATTTTTTCGTATTATACTAGATATTGGTAATAATAATAATAATAGTAGTAGCTGTATTATATTCAACCAATTCTGAAAAACACTCGGTGACTGTTTAAATGTTTTAGAGAAACACTGTTATTTTTATTGTTTAAAAAACGCATATATATATATATAAATATAAAAAGCATAAAACACATAATGTCAACAACTACCTCCCCGACCACAGCATCACCCCCACCTCCGCCAACAACAGCTACTAGCGCTGCAATCCCCTCAACGACGACCGCGACGACCACCTCAAAAAAGCCACGTCGAGTGGAGATACTGCCCGTCGAGTCCGACAAACTAAAACACTCATTTGCGGGGGCTATTGCTGGGTGTGTCAGTTCTATAGTGACATGTCCATTGGATGTGGTGAAAACACGACTACAAAATCAGAATTCTTACCTTGCCAAGGGAATCTATAATAGTAATCACATTCGCGGTTCTGCTGGGCCATTATATAAAGGAACTGGAGGTAAAATTTTCTTGTGTCTTGTTTATTAGGAATGTAATTGATTAATCTGTTTATAAGCAGCAATTCATTCATTAACTATGGATTCAAATAATATCCCGGAAAAAAAGGGACATTGAGGCGGATTTGGCGAGAGGAAGGTATTCGTGGACTATATCGAGGTTTAGGACCCACATTATATGGATATTTACCTACATGGGCTATATACTTCAGTGCATATGACTATTTCAAATTGGCTCTAGCAGGTATTTTCAATTCTTTTTTTTTTAATAAAAAGACCACAGAATTAGATTTTTGCAAGTGTATATTTATTGATGGAATTTACTAACGAATGATGGTGTCAAGAATATTTGACGAAAAAGTCAACGTGAAAAAAGTACGCGTGCATTTTTTGGGTGCCCAAGTTTATCTTTTCACAAATCTATATAAATAATAAAGATATCTTCATCATCTTTAAAACATATTCATCATTTGGGGTGAAGAAAACAACGCAAGAATAAATTAGTAATTCTTTTCGTAAAAATTCAAAACACACCAAAAAGCAAAAAGCAACAAGACTGACGGAAATTACTCGTCTGTTCTTGACACCATCTTCACCCAATCTCACACACATACACTGCATACAACCAAACATATATATCGATCGTGGTGCTTGCTGCCTACACCATACATAACATAACGCGTACGTATTTTCGCGGTGTGGCGCGTTCTCAGGAGGAAGAATAGGTGGACGACTAGGACAAACGGAAACATCTTCATCAACATCAGCGTCAAACTTTAATGACAATTATAATGTTAATGAGAATTATCAGTGGATAGTGCATATTTTCGCGGCGATGGGCGCCGGAGCTACGAGTACAGTAGCCACAAACCCATTTTGGGTGATAAAAACACGATTTATGGTATTTGTTGGATGATTTTGTTTGTCTCTGTGTATGTTTGTATGGGTGATAAGTTATACTCGCGCCCCGTCTCAATTATCATCGCTTCTTATTCAATACTACTAGTGCTCTTAGTCGATAAATGACTAATTGTCCTCTATTTTTGTTCTTTTTCCATCTCAATAATAAAACGACACAAAATAGACACAAAATGAAACCACAGCCTATCAATATCATAATACGTTCGACGCGTTTTCTACCATTTTTCGAGAAGAAGGTATACGGGGATTCTACAAAGGTCTTGGACCGTCGTTGATGGGTGTTAGTCATGTGGCAGTACAATTTCCACTATATGAAAAAATGAAAATTTGGTTAAGTGAGTATTACGCTATTTCAATAATTTTAGTTAATTATACTGACACCATGCTTTCCTCTTTCTCTTATAAACACAGAATCTCCAGACCATGATCATCTCTCAAACCTATCGATCCTCTACGCGTCATCCGCCTCAAAAATGGTCGCCTCGATGGCCACATACCCACACGAAGTAGTCCGAACACGACTGCAAAACCAAACAGTACAACCGCACAAGTATCACGGGGTAATACACGCGGTGCGAGTTATCTCGCACGAGGAAGGATGGACCGCCTTCTATAAAGGAATGATGACGAATCTGTTGCGTACTGTGCCGGCAAGTGCGTTGACTATTTTGACATATGAAATTTTGGTGAGGCGGTTGAATACTGAATCTCAGGGTGGTTGAGGTGATCTTTTTGTTTGAATTTGCGTTAATTATTGCATGAATGGAAGGATGTGAAAATCAGAAATCCTTTTTTTTTTTGGTAGGTACAGAAATAAAAAAAAACTATTATTATTTAATTGTTTTACCAATTTCTGGTAAGAATCGATTAGGTAGAATAAGAGTTAATTCACGATGTATATTTATCAAGCAATCAAACCTATCAATTAAAATCTATTTGTTGAATCATCGAGTCAAAATAACTCACGTGCCTTTTATAAATACATTTGATTTGATTTTCTATCTGTCCAAGAGGTTAATTGTTAACCAAAAGTAATTAATAAAATGCGAGTCTGTCATTACGATTTACTGTGTGTAGCACGCAATGCTACTGCTGAGGAGATAAAAAAAGCATACCACAAAAAAGCGCTTGAATGGCATCCCGATAAAAACCATGAAAGAATAGAGGAAGCGACAAAACAGTTTTCAGCGATTCAGCAAGCTTATGAAGTTCTTTCGGATCCGAATGAACGGTCTTGGTACTTTTGCTATGAATATATTTGTCGCTTTTTTTGCTTTTAATGGATTTAGCTTTTGAAATCGTTAAAATGGATGCGATTTCACTTTTAGGTATGATAGTCATAGAGATGCGATATTGAGAGGTAGATTTTTTTGATCGATTTTTTTATTAATAGTTGCAGCTTATTTATTGTCCTTTAATCCGTTTTTTATAGATGATGAGGACATTTACGACGATTTTGATAGTGAGGATATTGGGCGTAGAAAATATCGTGGACCTACAGTCGCGGGAACTACCACCAATGATCTGATGAGGTTTTTTGACGCAGGATGTTTCTCGGGATTCGATGATAATCCAAAAGTAAGAAGAGAGGAATAACAAAAGAATTTATTATGTGTCAATAAATCACAAGAATTAATTAATTATTTTCAAATAGGGATTTTTCACCATATATAGAAATCTTTTCGAGAAATTAGCATACGAAGAAGAAGAAGCATTCGCCAATGAATTCGACATCGAAGACAGTGCTGGATTTATAAACTTGCCATCATTTGGCACAAGCACCACGCCTTCTGATTTCGATGAAGAAACTTCGGGTAATCCGATCAAACTGTTTTATACGGCGTGGCTTGGTTTCTCGACACGAAAAACGTTCAGGTGGCTTGATAAGTTTAAACTATCAGAGGTGAGTTTTTGGTTGTTTATTTTTTAGTTGTTGTCATGGTAGTTGTAATAGCAATGGAAGGGATGATGGTGTCGTGTGTAAATACACAATTTGTAGTAATGATTACTTTTAAAAGCTAGGCACCTGATCGCCGTGTAAAGAAATTGATGGAGAAGGAGAATCAAAAAGAGCGTGAGACTGGACGAAGGGATTATAACGAAGCTGTTCGAGTAAGCTTTTGTTTTTTTTTACGCTTTTATTTAGTTTTCTATACATCTATTGACACAAAAAATCACCTCATTCATAGGAACTAATCAGCTTCGTCCAAAAACGTGATCCTCGCTGGAAATCCTACCTCGAAGTACTTCAACGACGAAACCAAGAACGGGTCGCACAAGCAAAAGCACGCGCTGTTCGTGACCGCGCACAACACATTGCCGAACTGCAAAACTACACGGAACAAGAATGGGCAAAAATCGACGAGGAAGGACTCGACGAAGACACCGATCAGCAAGACGACGACGAGGAGGAACTCGAAGAGTTATATTGTCCGGCGTGTAATAAGAGTTTTAAACATGATAAACAATGGGTTAATCATGAACAGAGCAGGAAACATTTACGAAATGCTTATTTGTTGAGGAAAAAGTTGTTGTCTGAAGAAGGGGAAGGAGAGGAGGATGAGTCGTCAGCGGCCGTGACAGCGGAAAATTCTGATCAAGAAAATAACAGTAATATTGTTAATAATGTTAATGATAGCGAAGACGAAAATGATGAAGATGGTGATAATGTTAATTTGAAATATGAGGATTCATCATTATCATCCCCACCATCAAAACTGAAAGCTGATCAAAACCTAAAACATAGTTCAATAATTGAAGATGATGATGTCGATGAAGAACAAAAAGATGAACATATACTACCATCACCACTGCAATCTAACAAGAAGAATAAAAAGCTGAAAAAGAAACTAAAAAAACCAAATTGGGGACACGACGACACAGAAGATGACGGACTAAAAAATAATAAAAAGATAAATAATCAGAAAGATAGCATATCAACATCCAAATCGAAATCTTTTCACGAAGAAACAGAAGATGGCGAAGATGAAGATGTAAAATTATCAGATTTATTAAGTAAACAGGCTAAAATTTCTATAAAATCTAATAAATTAAAAGAGTCTGAGGTGATGGCAGACGAGTCTGAATCATTGCAAGAACAAGAACAACATTCAGTAATAGATAACAACAATCTTGATCATAACGACACAAATCTGAACAAACAATCACCGTCACAACCGATATCGCCAAATATCAAGAAAGAAAAACGTAAAGAGAAAAAGAAAGCTGAGGCAATTCAGGTATCTAATGACTAAATAACTATTTTTTGATTAACTACTGGATCATATTTAAATATTGATTTTCTATTAAATCCTTGATTTGCTAGAACAAATGTAATGTCTGCGCTACGTCGTTTTCCTCCAGAAACCAGCTTTTCGCACATATAAACAAAACGGGACATTCGCTGGCTGGCGGTGGCAAATCAGTAAAAGGAAGCAAGAGTAAAGGACGAAAATGAATTATTAATATCCCAAAAAAAACATCCCCTATATTATAATACCAATATAAGATGATAAATATTACCTATAATATTGTTAAATAAAATATATAATGTATTTATCGCATCATTACATTCTCGGACAAATGCGCAAATATTTCACATACAAGCATGCACACAACACACAACCATAATTTCCTTTTCCTCAAATGATTAATTTTTTATTATCATCAACAAATAATTGCTGCCGCCTTCAAAACCAGAAAAAGTAAAAGAAAAAATAAAAAAAAATAAAAAATAAAAAACAATAATACATATAAACATAAATATATTGATCAATATACTTATGTTTATATGTATGTTAAAAGAAGAAATACTACTACGGTATAGAAAAAGTGCATAAAGCAGCAAAAAGCAGCAGCAATATAAAAATAAATTTCAGAGATTTTAGATTAAATTTTCAAGCCTATTTTTTTAAGAGTATTTATTTTGAGTGTGTTAATGTGAAGTGTGTCGCCATCCAATTGTACGTATCCCTGGTCGAGAGCCATTTCATAAGTTTTATGCTCAGCAAACTCAACGAACGCGCATTTCTATTATTATTATTATATAGAAATAAAAGATAATTAATTAGAAATTAATGAATTAATAATACATAATCAAATGACAATTACTTTGAAGGGCAAAATGTCAATCTCCACGACACGTCCTCGGAAGGTTACTTCCAAACATTTTTTCAACCGAGGTTTCTTAAGATCAGGGGAGACACCACCGATGTACACACGATTAACTGAACTGGTATCAGATCCTTGTCCTTTTTTCATGTCAAAAGAAACCAAAATTAATGATCGATTTCACCTTTAGGAAAAACAATGACAGAACAATAAAACGTACCAAATTTGTCTAATTGCAAATCATAATTATTTTGACGATGATGATGATGTTGTTGCTGCTGCTGTTGTTGCTGCTGTTGTTGCTGCTGCTGTTGCTGCTGTTGAGGAGAATACACCCATTCTATTTCCTCTTTATCATCTTCATCACTAGCGACTGAATTAGTGGAGTCGGATGAAAAATCGATATTCTTGAACACACCACCTCTTTCTTCTTCTACTTGTTTTTTCTTGCCTTTTTCTTCCTTTTGAAGAGATTTTTTTCGCACATTAATGAGTTCGTCCTGCATCACGATAAATTTAGTTTTAAAGTCACGTAACGAGTCCTCGAGCACACGAATACGATGATCCTTTATCTTCTTGATGTCATTAGCTTGTTCTAAGCTTTGCTGGAGTTCAATAATGCGAATATCTTTTACCGCGATCATGTCATTGAGTTGGTATATCTCGTTTTCGTCCGCGCGTACAATGTTGTCGAGTTGCGCTTTGATTGCTTTGCAATTACGACAGCGAATGTCGGCACCATCCAACTTCAACTTGCGGTTATTGCTAAAGGGGAAGCTTGGACTGGTAGCATTATTGCTATTTCTATCTTTGTTACTGTTGTTATTAGTACCGTTGGTAATGCTAGAAACAGTTGATAAGGGAGCTTTGGAACTTGAGCCAAATGAAGAAGCCATAGTTGCCTAAGAGGAATGTAATCAATGTTAAAGTTAATTCCCAAGGTGAAATTTTTTAAATAATCCCAACATAAATAGTTGGCAGATGACTGATTTGGCTAAGATGATTAATTTGGCTAATTTGGGCAAATTAGAAAACATTCAAATATCGATATTTCTAATGATTTAAGACAATAGATTTGTTTATTTATGGTTTAGGCAATACATGCGATTTAGATTTTGTCACAAGTTATATACATATAAATCGAGCCTATCGATTATATATAATGATCTACATGAAACGTCACGCGTTGAATTTTTAAATACTATTTTCATATTGTACAAAAACATATTCCTCATAATAAAAAGTTTTTTTGTTGTCGTCATTACTTTCACTCACATTATTATTCTTACTACAATCATTCACACACGTAAATATTATCACAGTACCCCATTCCATTCCGAGATTAAATTGATAAATATTATAAGCATTATGATGATTGTCGTCCTCGTCAGATTGGATTCTTGCATATTTGCTTGTAGATAATGCGTATAGAGTATTTGGCATTAATTGAAATTCAAAGACTCGATCTTTTCCACAATTCTTACACGGAGGAATTCTTGTATTCTCAGATCCTGTTAAGTAATTTTGGTTGTATAGTAAAGGTTGACCACCAAACTCATATCTAATATTAGTAAATTTGAAAAATATTAACGTATTATTACCGATAATGACCGAGAACGTAAAGAAAAGAACCTACCGGACACATTGATCCGGCCATTCTGCAACACGCTTTGAGAACTTTTTAAATGCCTTATCAACACCCTTAGGTAACACAGATTTCTCATACTTTTCGCCAGCCCATTCGCCCAGGTTTCCATCATCGCAGTTATTGTAGTCTTCGTAATTCAGATATTGCTCGTATTTTTTCAAAAGGTTGAAATTCTGGTTTTCCTCGAGAATTTCTTCGGTGATGTATAGATATTGTGCAGGGAAATGGGAGATTGATTTTGGCCATTCTATGAAATTTATGAAATAAATATAATGAGAAATGTAATAATGTGATTTCACAGTGAGAGTAATTTCACCTTTATATGATAAGAAATCTGACGACGAGTCAACTAATTCGAGCTTTTGTATTCGATTTGAAAGGTCATTTATATCGCGTGGTGGTTCTTTTTCATCTTTATTATGACTTGTAGTTATTTCTTCAGATACAATTTGACTCCAATTTTTGGATGATGTATGTGAATCATTTTTATTGTGATTGCTGGGTGGAATTTCATCTTTAGGTGACGACTTTTGGAATTTGATTCATACTAATTAATAAAGGTTCAATAACTAAAGACTCAAAAAAAATAATTTATTTACATACAATTTCGGATATTTTTCTATGCACAGTAGACTCAAGCTTTGGATATTCATAATCACTTGTTGTTGTGACTTCAATTGACCGTAATGATGTTGTGTTTGAATGATTATTACTTGACAACAGGAGTTCTTTCAACTTTTTAATCCAAATCAGAAAAAATAATAGTGCCAAAAAAATGGGAAATGATATAAAAATCAAAAATTACATTAAATGCTGGCGGAGCGATAGCATTCGCGTACTTTTCTTTATCCTGACGTAATTGTTGTGCGTATTCTTTGTTCAATCGGTGTGCGCGAATAGCACGAAAGCTAAAAAAAATATTCAAATTAAATAATTAAATGATTGATTTAATCAAACAAATATATGGTTATATTAAAATAATTAATACCTTCCAGATTTACGCATACATCGTTGCTGATTACACCCCCAGACATAAATAATACGATCATACGGGGACCGATCTAACGGCACATAACCCTGGAACAGCAAAAACATTTCTTTACCACAATTACCACATATTGCCACGCCGAAAGAAGGAATCAACGATCCGGATAGCTCTGGTGATGAGAATGAAGATGATGATGCAAACCAATTTGGAATTCCACCGATTTTTGTCACATATGGATCTGTATCTTGATCTGTTGGTATATTCCCATCCGGGAATCCTAAGAGTGTTTTTGTTACTTTAGGAATTTGCAATGACGAGGATAGAGTATGCGTGTTTTTTGATGGATTGGCTTTCTTAGAAGCAGAAGAAACTAAAGAAGATGATGACGATGTAATCGGTATTGTTATTGAATTTTTTGAGGAGGAAATAGTTTGATTGTTGGTACTGTTTATTGGTGGTAAAGATGATGATGACATTGAAAGAGGAGAAGCATCGTATCTGACATAATTTGTTGATGATTTTTCATTAGATGAATGATTTGATTTCTTTAAGTTATAATTATGAGTTTGATTTGATCTCTTTGAAGATGATTTATTTTTTAGTCGAGTATTTTTTGATTGTTGTTTGTTGGACATTTTTCTTGATAATGTTTTAGTATAATAATATCCAATGATTATTAGAGTGAAATAAAAAATTAAAAGTCATAAGTAACGCGTGATAATTTCTCGTGATCTCGAGATTTAAATTTGGCTGGTGATCTAATTCAACTGTCATCCGGAAGCTGATCACGCAGAATCAAGTTGTGGCTGTGCTTGGGGATGCCACCTCTAAAACGTAATGCTATCAGGCTACTACGCCAACGTTGTGGCCAAGCAATATGTTTTTTATTATTTTATAAAGTTTATTACATATTAATATATTGATTCTTGTATTACCAAAAATTTCAAAAGATAGATATTATTAATTTTTATATTCTTATATGAATTACAAAATAAAAAATTCACATTTTAAAGCATTTTTATTTATAATTGTATATTAGTCAAAAGTAATATATATATGTATATAGTCAAATTTCTCTATAGTTATTATTCAAGAATAGTATTATTACTTGAATGCAAATACAGCAATTTGATTGGTTGGAACAAGTATCCTGATCAATCAAATTGCTGGATTTGTGTTCAAGTAACAATACTGCTCTTAAAAAAATAAAATTTGGTAATTATAAAGAAAATATAATTATAGAAAGATTTTTTTACTATGTTTATATGTAATGATAGAAGGATATGACTATAAATAGGTATAATTATAAAAAAATTTGATTATATATATTACAAGTTAAAATAAAATTTGTATTAATTTGGAATTTGGTTTGCATTATAAAATTAATTTCAAATCAATACAAATCTATTTCAACTTATAATATTGTTATAATTTAATATTTTGTTTAATTAATTTTATAATTCTATATTAATATTTAAAATAATTTTATTGAATAATAATAATTATAATTATTATTTGAAATTTAATTCAAATTTTGATTTGAATTTCAATTTGAATTTCAATTTGAATTTCAGTTTGAATTTCAGTTTGAATTTTAATTCAAATTTTGATTTAAATTTTGATTTGAAATTCAATTCAATCTATAATCTTATTTGAAGTTTAATTTTTATAATTTATCTATATATTTTAACTTAGAAAAATAATCTAATAATATCTTGTTTTTTATATTTTTTTTATAATCTCTCATTTTAATTATAAAGTTATTTTTATTATTTGTCTTATAATCTCTCATCTAAATTAGTAAAGTTATATTTCTTATAATATTTGAAATTAATCTCTTGTTTATATTAATAAAGTTAATAATGTATAATTAAATTAATAAAAGAAATTATATTTAAATATTTCTGATCTTATTTTAGCTGTTCAACAAATGAATATATGTTATTTATCTTTAAATATTTATATTTTCTTTTTCACTTGAAATTATATCTTATAAACTCTTTTATTTGATTTAATAATATATATTATTTATATGTTTTTTCATAACAAAACTTAAAATATAATAATTTAAAATAATATTATATTATAATTTAAATATTATTTATTCAATTTAAATATAATTTATATAATTTAAATCACTCTATAGTCACCATCCTTGAAAAAGCAAAATTTGATGACTATTGTTATAATATGAATATTTAGTTCTTATTTTATTGGTTAATTCATATCATAAATTTAATTGGATAATATTCTAT